TTGGTTTTCTTAAAATATCTAATTTATTTGCAAGCCAAAGGAAAAAGCTTTTCTTGAGAGGCAATATCACAATATGCTATTTGAAGTCACCTAAAATGACAAAGGGAAGATCTACCTAAGGAGCCATGGACCTCATAATAGGAAGGAACTTCCTTTAAACTCTCCATTAAAGCAATATTTTTAAAGTAGGTTAGGTGTATGCTTGAAACAAGAAAGTCTCTTCAGATGTCTAGTTTTTGTACCCTTCAGGCTATTGTGCCATTCAGCCCATTTTATCCTGTTCCCAGGGGTCATGGCTTCTGAGAGGTGATGTAGTTAGATAAAGGGCTGCTTCTGTAGATCTTTACCTTCATACATTTCCACCTCAGGCAGTTCTTTTACAAGATCACTCCTTGGATAAAAATCTATAGACTCAACCCAGAAAATATAAGGTGGCTTTAAATTGGATGTTTCTTCTTCTCTTTCTTCTAATATCATAAACCAGCCGATTATTTTATATGTGTCTGAACATCAAGAACTATAACTGGGGCTCATCAAAGTTAGACAATTTAATCTTAGAAAATTGCTAGGTAGACAGGGAAGTCATGAGGAGAAAAATAAGTGTCTTTGACTTGGACTCACAGAATCCAGGCAAGTCAAAAATTTCATTAGATTTGGTATAAATAGAGGAAGTCTAAGATCAAATGTTGGGCCACAGAAGCCCCTAGAAATTAGAATTTATTTCTGCTTTTAGAGAATTAGCTCAGTAGATTCATTTCAGCATGGGGTGGGGAAACACATATATCTCAATATTTGATTGTGTGTTGACCAACTATTAAATAAATTTGTTTATTTTGCAGATACTTTTCAGATTCATTTTTCTATCACTTTGATTTGTGATTTGATGCCTATGGTTTTAAAATATGGGCCATGAAAACCTTCAATACAGAATACGTTGAGCTTTTATGGGAATTTTGAATCATTCTTCAAAAAAAGATTTCATTAGATACATATGATGTTTTGATAAACATTTACGTAAATAAGCACTACTGAAAGTAAAAAAAGCAATACTCCCAAGCCAAAGTAAAGAGAAAAGTTGTTAATCAATAGGAAAAGTAAATGCTATCTACTAGCTAAGCTATGACAATTACAATATAAATTCCATGCAGGCAGAGATGATGTCTATATTGTTCATCATTGCATTTCTAATGCCTAGCACAATGTTTGACACATTATAGAGGCTTAACAAAGAATGCTTAAAAAGTGACTAGTGCAATGGGTGAATGAACAGTCTTCCCAATACGAATTAAATAGCCCCAGAAAATAGAAGACCAACTCATCAAAAGATGTTTCTAACTAGATGAAACTTTCCTTTAACAACAATTTCCCTTTGCTCTTAATATGCTTTCACCAAGCAACCACATAGACTATAATTAGTTCTCCTGAATTGTTATACTCACAGGATGATTTATAACTGATTATAAATTAATAAATTGGGTTTGTGGCACAGATTAGTCCCACGTCCTAGGAGATGTGGGTCTAATGAAACAGCTTTCCTAGGGTTTCTTAAGAAAGATCTGACTACATAGGTCCTTTCACTCAAGGATACACAACAACTTCAGACAGAAACATATGAGGCCTATGGTAATTAGCCAACCCACTGAGCAATACCATGTAAAAAATGTATTTTGTACCCTGTAGATACTTTCAGCAGGAAAAGTATGTCTCTCATGATTTCAGTGCCCTGATACATTTAGAGAACTTTGATCACTTCTTATTTCTTTAAATTTCCACAGTATAAGGACTCAGTGAATATATATATTTGATCATTGAATGAATGTATATATTGAAACTGTTACATGAATTTTATTTCATCATTATAATCTCTCCTTGCAGTCAACACCATCCAAGGGAAGAAATAAGGAAGAATGCCTTTTATTGATAAATCATTGTTAAACTCTACCCTAATTGCATACATACGTGCATGCAGGCATTTGTCATTTCATTTGACAATATATGTGATGTACCTGTGAGGCACTTGGTTGGCTTCTGTGCTGTTAATAATCATATTAAAGTGAGAAAGATGTTGGTTAGTGACAGCTTATTTGATAAACTCTAGCTAAATGTATTAGTTTGCTAAGGCTGCCATAACAAAATACCACAGACCGGGTGGCTTAAACAACAGAAATTTATTGTCTCACAGTTCTGGAGATTGGAAGTCCAAGATCAAAGCTCTGGCAGGGTTGGCTTTGCTCTTGGCTTGCAGATAGACACCCACTTGTTGCCTCCTCAAGTGGTACTTTGGTGTACATGTGTCTCTCCTGTGAATCCAAATTTCCTCCTTTCATAATAATACAAGGACACCAGTCATATTGGATTAGGGGCCATGCCAGTAGTCTCATGTTAATTTACTCATCCCTTCAAAGGTCCTGTTTCTAAATGCAGTCACATTCTGAGGTACTGGAGGTTAGGGCTTCAACATATGAATTTGTGGGGGATACCATTCAGCCCACAATGCTAGAATAGTATTATATTAATGTAAGACAACATAAAGTATTTATTAAGATGTAGATTTGGGGAAGTAATGACAGAGGTAAAAGTAGGGTCTTATCTGCATGAGTTAGGTAGGAGAGAGGACAGAGATCAATGAATACAGATGGTAGGATGATTGGTGTTGGAGGAAACTTACTGATAAAGGCAAAGCTATCTCTGCCTTAAGTATCATGGTGATCCCTTAAGGAACACTGGATCACCAAATGTGGGCATGTTTCCATCTTGGTCTTGTAAAAGCTAGACCATTTCCCAAGTAGAAGTTGATTTATCACAAAATAAATGAAGTTCAGCTTCCACAGGCTTCAAGGGTCATTCCAGGGAAGTTGATCTAATTTTGTATGTATAGCTATGTATTCTTTTCCTTTAGGAGAGCTTTGGACTCCATAAAATCTAAATCTGCCCTGATTGCAAGTATTTTCAGGCATTTTCAGAAGGAGAGCTTAGGGGCATTTCTTAGGCTGAATGCATAAAAATAGGTATCCCAGCACTCTGGGAGGCCGAGGCGGGCGGATTGCTCAAGGTCAGGAGTTCAAAACCAGCCTGAGGGAGACCCCGTCTCTACCATAAAAATAGAAAGAAATTAATTGGCCAACTAATATATATAATATAAAAATCAGCCGGGCATGGTGGCTCGTGCCTGTAGTCCCAGCTACTCGGGAGGCTGAGGCAGCAGGATTGCTTGAGCCCAGGAGTTTGAGGTTGCTGTGAGCTAGGCTGACGCCACGGCACTCACTCTAGCCTAGGCAAGAAAGCGAGACTCTGTCTCAAAAAAAAAAAAAAAATAGGTATTTACTTCGAACAAATAATAAGTCATATATCATATGAAATATAATGCTTCCAAACAGTTCTTTATTGAAAGAGCAGTTACTATAATATTCATTCCTGCGAATGTGAATCTTCAACTGATTTTCAAAGCACAGGTATTCAAAAATGTCCTGGTCACTCATATACTTGTTTCTCACTTTCTTTCTCTGTCACACACAGACACACGTTTATTTTATGTCTGCATTCAGAACTGGGCTACTAAACTCTACCATTAATTTAGAAGGTGGATTGTGTATGTTTATTATACAGTATTAAATAGAAAATATATTGCTTGGAATATTCCTTGCTTCTTTTCATAGGAAACTCTTTCTCTCACTTCTCATACAATTGAGATTAACTCTCCCCTTAAGTTCCCTGGGGGTACACATATCCACGCCCAGCCAGTGTCATATTTTCTCATTTTGACATTAGCCCAAAACAATTCTTTTACTTTCTCTGAAAAAAACAAAAACATGTAAACATCTTAAATGATGCAAAATGCTATTGCACAGTGAGCCTTTCCAAAGGCATACCCATGGTGAGAATCAGTTTCCTTTAGAAGATTTTCTACATTTCATTTCCAAGTTTTATACATATTGTTTCCTGAGAATAGCCTTGCAATCATACACATAAAGGTGGCTCTTGGTTGGAAAGCAAAAGAAGAAAGTGAGATGAAATTGGTGAAGCAAAACGGTTCAATTTCCCTAACAAAGCAAAATTCCCGAATTGAGTTACTCTTAAAGCACTGTAATCAGCCATGTTTCTTAAAATGCCTGGGTTATATCGAGCCCCACTCACACTATGGTAATTATCAGCTGCCACCACACAGAAGTGCTGCATTCCCTGCAACTTTTTTTCCCCCAAAATGTCAGCTTGTAATCTGAAGGAAAATTACAAACTCTACTTTTTTAGGAATGTTTAAAATAAACTTACAAAGGCACCAAGCCTATTACAATTACTGTCCTGCTTTAACGGAGAAATATCCCAGGTGGTATTTTATCTCTGCAGCATCTATATCCAAAGGTTAGCCACAATGGAAGGAGCAAGAGTGCTTTATATATACCAATGCTAGCTTTGAGAAGAAGCTGAAACTTCTTTGAAAGGCTTGTGACTTTATTCTAGATAAACATAAACTACCCTTAGGATCATCACCACTAATGCTACCTTAATAAAGTATCACTGCATTCAACAATGCAGTATTGCATATCTTTTGTATAATGCTGATGATAATCTGTAGAGGTTTATTCCCTCTTATTTAATAGGGACCATAAAACTCATATCAAGTGTAGCATTTTATGCTAATGGCAACATTTCCAATTAAATGGCCAATATAAATCATTTTGACTTGCCATCATTCTTTATTTTAACAACTGCTTTTATAACATACACCTTAGAGCCCTTGTATCTTTCAGCTTGTAAAAGAAAAGTGAAATATCAGTGAAAAACATAATGTGTAGGACTCTATTAAGGAAACTTTAAGTGTAATAAAATCCACAGGAGTTCAAGGCACCCAAGGTTTACAAGAAGATTCTGCCCAGAATGCTAAGCAGCCTTTTATTAATAAATGATGGAAGCAAATCTCTGAGAAATCCATAGATTCTCCTTTCTTTATACTTTTTAATACAGATCTAGGATAGCAGACTGAGGACTTAGACACAGAATACCTGGTTGTGGTCATGACTTAGCCATGAAGAATCTAGGTGATGTTGAGCAAATCTCTAGCCTCAGTTTCCAGAAATGAAGTTCCTTGAGTTCTCTTCCAAATCCAACTTCCTGCAACAAGAAGTCCCATAAAAGGTGAAGGAAAACTAGGTTGCTTCATGAATTCAATGCAATGCAGGACAAAATTTCCAGTAACAGCTTTCTCTTATCCCTTATAAAATATACTCTATACACCCCACCACTATGTTTGTCCTCTGTTTACTTTAAAAAAAGAGAGAGAGAGAGTGCAAGGCAGAGCTGGCTTTGGATCCCATCTGCAAGCCCTCACTAGCTATGTGACCTTGAACATTACACTTAACTTCTAAAATTCCAGTTTCTTCCTTTATAAAAGCAGGATAATATTCTCTTCCTTGTAAGGGTGGGGAGATGAATATGGATGATATTTTAAACCTACCTTCCACAATGCCTGAAATCTAGTAAGCACTCAATAACCAATAGTTATTATTTGTGTGTATATATGCAATTACACATATGCATTCATTCATATATAATACACATTCTTTTAGCTTTGGAGACTATTACTTCCAGTTCCAATCAGAAATAGAAGGCAGTTATTCACACATCATCAAATCAAAATTGGAAATGCTCAAAGCTATGGGCCCATTTATAGTGGTATGATCAGATTGACAATCTAGAACACCAATGTAACATGCTATCCTTTTCACTACCACTATTTCACTATCACTAGCAGGAGCCCAGGACATTTTCTGTCTGGTCAAGGTATATTATATCTAGCAGCTAGAACGGACCACCACTAGAGATCTAGTCTGCCATTCCACAACTAGTTTGAATAACTTAGAAATGCAATTATATCATTTTTCTAGAACAAGTCAGAGCAGCACCAGGTTTGGTACAATTTCAAATGCATCTGCTCCTATTTCATCTCATGAACTCACCATTTCAAATTAGTCAAATTTTATAATCAAAGCATGCAACATACCTACATATCTCAAATGTAAATCCTATCTTAGGTCTACTTCTAAGAAAACTTCCCTTCACGTCTGCTATTCCCTCAGCCTAAATGATTCAATTGCCTTGCTCTTTATTTAATTGAACCAAATTCTCTTCAGAGCAGTGCATGCTCACTGCTTTCAGTTCCTCCATGTTTCTCAAAGTATTGTATTTTTGTTATCCCATACAACTTTTCTAAAATTGTCCATGTAATAATCATCAATGATCTCCTATGGCCAAATCCAACAGACCTTCTGTTCACTTCACACTTTCTCAAGAATCTAAAACCACCATCTTCTAGAACCCCTGTCTTCTGTGGCTTCATTAACCCTGCTCATTTATGGTTCTTCTGCCTTTCTTCGCCCCCTCCTTCTCCTTCTCAGATCTTTTTCCCCCCAACCCCAAATTTAGGGGATTCCCAAGATTCTGTCCTTGTCCTCCTTCTGTGGTCCTTCAAAGGTAATTTTATATTAACATATCCCAACAGTTTTAACTATAACTCTGTGCAGGCAACTCCCCAATATAAATCTCCAGGTATAATCTCTCTCTCTCTCTCTCTCTATTTCTTTCTCTCTCTTTGAGAGCCTCCACCTGAGAATCTCAACATCTCACCCTCAGTAAGTCCAAATGTAATTCCTTATTCTCCCTCACAAACTGTTCCTAGTGCTATGTCCCTGGATTCTTTCAATGTCACCACCTTATCCATGGACTCCCATGGTCCAAGCCTCTGTGATCCTTTAACCTCTGTCAAATTAGTTACTCTGTGCCAATGCTGCTTCCCTAGCAGTTCTGATATGTTTCCATCTCTCTCTCTGAACTGAAGACGTTTTCTGACATGTCTAATATAGACTTGAGAGGTGACAGATTCTCCAATTATAGTTCACTCTTGCTCTTCTGACAATCCTAGAAGAAGCATAAGAAAACATACCTCTAATCATTTTCATTCCCTTGCTCAAATGCTTTTAGTAGTACCCCATTTCTTATAGATTAAAAGCTGATCATTAGAATAACTGATATTTATTAAACATTTGTTTAGTAGGTGCTAGGTAATGTGTCAAACACTACAGTAGATATCAATTATCTCACTAACTCTTATGTAGATGTGATTTTACAGTTATTTGTATGATTATATTGATTAATACATATCTTTCTGGCTGGGCGCAGTGGTTCATGCCGTAATCCTAACACTCTGGGAGGCCGAGGCTGGAGGATCGCTCAAGGTCATGAGTTCGAAACCAGCCTGAGCAAGAGCGAGACCCTGTCTCTTCTAAAAATAGAAAGAAATTAATTGGCCAACTAAAAATATATAGAAAAAATTAGCCAGGCATGGTGGTAAATGCCTGTAGTCCTAGCTACTTGAGAGGCTGAGGCAGGAGAATCACTTGGGTCCAGGAGTTTGAGGTTGCTGTGAGCTAGGCTGACATCACAGCACTCTAGTCAGGACAGTCAAGTGAGACTCTGTCTCAAAAAAAAAAAAAAACCAAAACATATCTTTCCAATCAGACCATAAATTCCATGAGGTCAAGGACGTGAAATACAGGCACTTAGTAACTACCTACTGATAGAATAAATGAACTGTTTTTTTATTGTCACCACTGAAGGTACTCTTTTTCCCCACTCCCAAATCACCTAGTAATCCTTTATGTCTTCTAGCATATTGTATATTATTACTTATTATATTTGAGGAATGACAAATGCAAATGAATTTTAACAAGAAGACTTCTATCCCTACTAAGGACCTATACTGGAATATTTCAGGATTAATAATTTATCTCATCTTTCTGACTAAGCAATATTTCCCACACTCTATCATCTCTCTTGGGCATCTCTCTTAAATCCTTGTCCTCTTTTTTAATCAAAACTGAATTAATAAATGCATGCTCCCCTCCCAGAACCTCCAAGGGAATTTGTTCAACAAAGTGTTTTTTTAGTACAACACTTATTCAATAGAACAAAACAGATTCCAAGAATACAAAAGTGAGGCAGACATGGATCTTGGTTCCAATGGACTTACAGATTAGTAAAGAATATAAATCATATACTCAAGTGACTATTACTTCAAGGAGAAAGATATAGGTGGTATAAGAAATGTACAGCTAAACTGTGATGGGAGTTCAAGGTAGGAACATATTAATTTTAGTTGAGAGGATCCCAAAAGACTTCATAGATAATTTGTATTTGATATGGTTTATGAAAAATGAGTAGGACTTGGGGATGAGAAAAACAATTTATTCCAAGAGAAATAGAATTAACAAAAGTGTGGAAGTCTTAAAAAACACGGGATATATATACAAAGAACATTAGGTGGCAGAATTTAATTGTAATGATTAATTGTATTATGACTGTTAACATTCTTTTTGAAATACAGAAGTGTGATGTTCTATTCCCAGATTTAAAAAGAAGAAAATATTTATATAGAGTTCATTGAGTTGAATTATTATATTGATAAAATGATATTTTTATTAATACTAGGGTAATACCACTTTCCAAATATTTGTCACTACCATTGTTTTTGTTTTCAGCAAGTCCACCCTCTTTGTCACAGAATAAGGCCTAGAGATTTGGGTAGCTCAAATTGTATTGAGCCACCAGGGGACTGAGTTTGCATAAATATTTAAATTTTAGATACAAATTCATAAGTCTGGGCATTGTAGACAACTGAGGTAATTGGAATCTCTCGAAGTCAATTTTTAGTCCAAATCTTGTTTTTAAAATAGTCTGAGAAAATTTGACTTTGGGGCTAAACATCTCTGGGTTGATATTTTGTTTTGTTTTCCCTATTGGGTGAGTTGTTATTTTAGTTGATTTTGGTTTAAGTTTCTTCCCCTTGGATGTGTGCTATAAATCAGACTTATGGCAGTTTGCATTCCAATGATGCCTTATCTTGGCTGTACAACTGTTATCTCATCTAAATCCCACAGCTGTGTCACTTCCTAACGACCACCATCCCTGCAAGACAGCTGTTGCTCTTAATTGGCAGGAGTAAAACAGATGAGCATTAAGAAACCAGCCTAGATGATGTGCTACACAAAGAATTTACATTTTTACCCCAAACTATTTGAAACTAGAAAATAAATTTCCATTTTGTTTTCCTGAACTATTTGAAACTAGAAAAGACAGGGCAGGAGGCTTCAACAGAAATATGTTGATGGCATATTTTTTGGTCTCCTACCCAGAATTTTACAACTGAAACCTCACAAAGCAAAGCTGCTTCTTAGTCCAAATGAGAGCCCCACCCACAAAAACATTGAAAAGCAATTTGAAATCTCTTGCAAAGTTTCCTGATGAGCTGACAAAGAAGAATTATGTCATAAATCTCAGTGAAGCTTCTTAAAATCCACTTTTTCAATCTCACCTTTCATAGCACACATATCCCAGAAGCTACCAAAAGTCTAGTGACTTCCTACTCAACGTGTGGGTCACAGACCATCAGCATTGGCACCATATGGGAACTTGGTGGACACATTGTCAGGCCTCACTTCAGACCTACTGAATCAGACCTACCCATGTTCTAACAAGATCCCCAGTTGATTTTTATGTGATTCATTTCTATTTAATTCAAAAAACACTGCTTTTGTCCATTGATTCTCATGCTTTAGTGTACTGTACGTAAGAATCCCCTGAAGATACTATTAAAATGAAGATTCCTGAGCCTCACCCAAGGGTTCACAAGTTAGTAAATCAGAAGTTTGAATACCACCCTCTTGTGATACCCAGAACTCAGATGGTATCAAGACCACACTTTGATCTCAGTCCATGGAAATGAAAATCTCTGTAACTCACCCTGCACTGTTTTTTCTCCATCTCCTTCCTTTCTACTTTTTCTATACTTTTCAATGTAACTCAATCTAGCATGTCACAACTTGTGTATGTGTGTGTGTTTATTACTATCTTAACAATTGTCTACTAGTTAATCTCCCTGTAACTAGTCTTAGCCCTGGAACTTTTTTAGGTATCTACTTATTAAAACTTATCAAATGTACACAAGCCAAAGAAAAACTGGTTACTAATCTCTTAAAAAAGAATAATAGAACAATTTATTCTAATATTTGTTCTGGCCTCCATTCTGCTATGCCTATTCAATCAGGGTGAAGTTTAAA